CTTTATTGTTACTGTTCTGCAGTACACCTCGCCTGGGCAGCTCTCTAAGGCTTCTATCAAAACCCTCACCTTGCAGGTTTCTCAGTCCCCTGACCATTACTACTGGATATTTCTTTCCACTAAGATCTGCCTTAGACACTCCCAAACCCCACAGATATTATTAGGGTCTTGGCAGGATCCCCAACCTCCTAAAATGAATGTAAGACAAAGGCTTAAATAAAAAGACAAGTCATATGGTTTGGGAAGGTCAGAACTAAGACAGAGTTCTCTGGATTACCCATATTCATTGGATTTCAAATAAATTTGCAGGGCATAAAGGAAAGTGAAGGGAAGAGCTGAGGTAAAGGCAGGAAGCTGAGAAGGACCTAGAGAAGTTAGTGCAAAGACTTTTCCAGCAGGAAATTTTGCCAGTTAAGAGAACTGTTTGATTTCTAAGGTTGGCAGTTCAGAGCTCTGGAATAGGGAGAGTCAGCCCTGAAGCTGCAGTCTATCTCACCTTCAGGGTCTGTCCATACAAGCTCCAATAGTCGGGAGAGCACTGTGTTCAGCAGTTTAAGCCTCCCATAGCTCCATCCCTAACAAGATGACCTGTGCTGCTCCTCCTGTGCTGGTGCTCCCACAACAGAGCTACCTGACCTTAGCGGCCACAAACTCCACTTGGCCTTGTCGTCAGCTATTTGCAGTCCCTGATTCACTGAACAGTACTGTTCTTACCTCCTTGTTCAGCTGAGGAGAGTGAGGCCCAATGAGAGACTACTTAAAGATATAAAGCTATTAGGTGGTAGGACCAGGGTTCAAATCCTGCTGCACTGACTTCAGGAGGTACACATCTAGTCATACATCCACACTGCCTCCCTGAAACATGTGAAGTCACACTACGCAGTTGCTCATTTTTCTCCATCAATTACCCTCCATGTGTTAATAATCTCAGAGAAGTCTGCATTAAACAGGCTCCCTGAGCTAGGCTATTTTAAGTTTGCTGAAACCTGGACAGTAGAGCTTTCAAGCTATCCAAACCCGAAGACACTCCCACTGGCTTAGACCATTGCACAGGAGTGCTGAGTTACCTGGGGTCGCTATCTGCTTTCCTGTGAGCCCACCCTAGCCCTCTCCCCAGAGCTGTCCACCCACCATGTCCCTGGCACTGAGTCACCCACTCCCACTTCCCGCAGAGGTCTAGCTGTTCTCCCTCTCCCTAGATCTACCTTTCTCCTCCCTGGCCTGATGCCTGCCCTGTCTTGTAGTCCTGCTCAGGATGCTCAACATCCCGGAAGGTCTACGGGCCACACCTTGGTAACAGAGAATCTCCGGCAGGCGGATACATGCTGCTGGTGGGTGGGGATGATCTCTCATCTGGCAGCTTCTGCTAGGTGGAAAATCAACACAAACCATGAAAGAACATGTGTCTCAGGCTGCCTGTCCTTGCTGCCTGTGGTTCATCTCTGCTGCCAAGTGTGGCCCTGCGCCAGGACCTCCCCAGCCAGGCCTTAGAAAGCAAAGCCCTCTTGAAGGAGACAGGGAGCCCCATAGGGTGGGAAGCTCAGCCCTGTGGTCCATTAACTCCTCTTCTTCAGTTCATGTAGGCTCCCACAGACCAACCAGCTCAGGTCTGCAGGAGTTGATGGAGGGCTTAAAACCCCAGCCTACATGTGCTTCCAGCAGACCAAAGCCAACATCCTGTTCACAGGCTGCTGCTGCTGGCAGGTCTCTCCCCCGGCCCCACTCCAGTCCCAGGCTAAGCTCTCTTCTATCAGCTTCTTCTGTTTCTGTCAACTACAGCAGTCTGCCCTTATCTGCAGTTTCATTTCCCAAAATTTTAGTTACCAAAAGTCAATTGCGTCTGAAAATATTAAATGGAAATGTCCAGGAATAAACAATTCACAAGCTTCAAACTCAGCGTTGTTATGAGTAATTCAGTGAGATTCATGTCTTCCTACTCTCCCCACCTGGGACATGAATGATCCCTTTGTCTAGTGGATCCACACCATATATGCTACCCTCCCATTAGTCACTGGCCATCTGAGTTATCAGATCAACTGTCACTACTGCAGCATCACAGTGGTTATGTTTACATAACCCTTATTTTACTTAATAATGATCCCAAAGTCACATTTCAGATGTGCCAAAGAAAGCTGTACAATATTTCCTTTAAGAAAAAAAGTTAATTCTTCAACTTCCTAAAAAAAAAATTGTAGCCACAATCGCCTGAAGCAGATGATCCCCTTCTCACCATATAGGCGAAGGTCAGTAGAAGCCTAGCACTATGCCACAGTCCCTGTGGTATGTGGCTTACTTAACATCACCATGAAAGCACCAGGCTGTCCTACAATATCACAAAAAGAAGACCAAATCAGTATGCCATTTTGTGAGAGAAAAAAAAGTATTACATAACTTAATTATCCTGGCTCTATAATGCTGCTAATTTCTCATTGTGATAATGTTTATAACTTAAATATTATCATAAGTGTGTATGGACAGGAAAATACAGAATATATGGGGTTCAGCACTACCTTCACTTCAAACATCCGCTGGGGTCTTAGAACATGCATTCCAAGTGGGGACTACTGTACTACTGGGTAACCGGCAGCGGGATACCACAATACGTCTCCCCAAATAATGTATTGTTGAGCTGAAGACAACTAAGAAGCATCTGGTACAGGAAACCTTCCTGCCTCCTTCCATTGGCCTAAAAACCAGACAATATTTTTTCTTTTTGGGGGTTAGGTACCAGGGATTGAACTCATGACCTTTCACTTGCCATGCAGGTGCTTTACCGCTGAACTATATCCCCAGCCCTAAGCCAGACAGTATTTACAGGAACTTCCACCAAGGAGAACAAAGGTTAAGCACAAAAAACAACTTTATGCCCTTCTTGGCCTGGAGGTGAAACTGAGATGGTCAGGGACTTCCACGAGGCCAAAGGCACACCTTGCAAAACCAGAACTGAGGCAATGACCAGCCGGACCCCAGCCCATTTCGGCAGCCACCTGAAATCTGGCCTTGACCTTGTTAATGGGCCGGTCTGACCCACTCGTCTGAGCTATGCTTGCTTCCCCATTTTTTCACCCTAACAAATCTCCCTATGGCTCACACAGACAAGTCCTCAAATCCTTTTCTGTGAGAAGACATCAAGAACCTGCTTGGACTGAGTGGAGTTCCGTAAGACAGACCTCCTCGGGGCCCCATCTGGTGGCAGCACCAGAGGAATCTCCGTTAACATTAACTAAAATTTACTCGACTTCCCGCAAGTATGCTCCTAGATGTCTTGTCACATTTCTAAAACTTTACTGTGCTTTACATGCTACAGCAGCTGGAATTCAAAGCCACCTCTTTGAGAATTACTCATAGTCTGGGCATCTCCCATGGATATATGAAATATACCTGTTAATGAGTTTCTATTTTCCTCTTGTTAATCGGTCTTTTGTTATAGGACTCCTTTCCCTTAAGGCTCATTAAACGATACACCAAAGCATGGCACTTGCGTGCTGTGTATTTTGAAATAAAGCAGCAGCCTCAAGGTCTCTCTGACCTGGTTCCATCCAGCTCTTACTTTGTAGAAGCATAGGAGGTGGCTTTCTCCCAAGTTCCCTCATTTGATGAAGGGAAGTTCTTCCACAAGGAATGCTATTAGCCCACCCTGCTCCCTGCAGCCCCAACAAACAGGAAAGGTCAACACACCGGAAAGAGGGCTGTCGTAGGTAGGTGCTGCACCCACAGCCCAGACAAACACCTCAAGCCACTCTGCTGTTTGGACCTCTCCTCTAAAGATCACTCACTCTTCCTCTAAACTACCCCACCTCTCTGGCTTATGAAAAGGTGCCTCAGCTTCTAAACCTCATTACATCATTGAATACGCCCTTTCCGAGGGTGTTTCCATGCTAGCAATAGACCTCTGAACCTCTTTCCTGTTAATCTATTGTCAGTTTGTTTCCGAAAACTCAATTACTGAATCTTCACAAGGTAGAATGAAAGTTCCCAGGGCCTGGGATATAACTCAGTGGCACAGCACCTTTCTGGTAAGTGCAAGGTCTTGAGTTCAAGTCCCAGGACCAAATAAATAAACAGGGCCGGGGATACAGCTCAGCAGCACAGAGCCCAGCTGGCAAGCACAAGGTCTTTAGTTTGATTCCTGATCTAAAAAAAAAAAGAAAGAAAGAAAGTAAGAAAGAAAAGAAATTTCCCTTCTCCTCTACAAAAGTATGAAACCACAGGAATTGAAGAAAAAATATTTTTGTTGCCAAGTGTGATGTTTCATACCTGTGATTCCAGGATTCTGGGAAGCTGAGGCAGGTTCATGCCTAGCCTGGGCAATGTAAGGAGATGCTGTCTCCAAATGTTAAAAAGAAATTACTTTTTAAAGGACTGGGGTATGTAGCTCAGAGTGAAGGCCTGGGTTCAATCCCCAGTACCAAAAATTTTTTTTGTTTTTGTTTGTTTTATAGAACCTATCCCAAAACAGTAACATTTTTTTTCCTGGCTTGATTCTGTCTGTCAGCTGAGCAGCTCTTCCACCCAGGAATCCCTCAGCAGAGGCTTCTGCAGAGGGGTCAGAGGGGTGAGATGAGTGTGGCTTCTTTCCACGTGATCTTTCTGGAAGTCTCAGTTTTTTTGTTTTTTGGGGTTTTTTTGCCATAATGCAAAGAGCAGAACCTGCCAAGCTCCTTGTGACCTGGCAGGAACAATGTCAATTCTGTCACTTTCTCCTGGTCTGACTGACGAGAAGGGGAACAATTTTCTCTATTCTGAATTGGTGTGGGCTCCTCTAGTGAGGATCATTCTCCAAGGAGCCAGAGGAACGCTGTCTTGTGGAGCTGTGCATGGCCCTGTTGGGTACTGAGACTGCATGCCAGGCTGCCACACAAGCTCACCAGGCAAGACTGGGCAGGGCTCGGTGAGATCAGAGAGCTCCCACGGGGATGAGGACCCACTTTTCCCAAGGTCCCTTCTTGCTTTTGATCCTGCATTTGCTATCTTAATCAGTGCTCTCTAAAATCAGTAGCTAAATTTTTAAACAACAGCTTTTTATTCAAATTTGTGCTTTATTATATACATTTTCTCATTGAATCTTTGTAACAGTGCAGTTGGAACCTATTTTATACATAAAGAAACTGCAGTGGAAGATATAGCTTAGTGACGTAAGTGCCTGCCTGGCAAGCCCAAGGTTGTGAGTTTGATTCCCGGCATCAAATCAAACCACAGCACAAAGAGTTAGGAAATTTGTTGAAGATCACGCATCTGATAGATGACCCAAAGGAGACAGAACCCCGGGTCTGGCTGATTCCGAAACCACTGAGTACGATCACCTCTCTAGGGCCAGGGGTTTAGCTCAGCGGCGTAAGTGCCTGCGTGGCAAACTTGAGGTCGTGAGTTTGATCCCTGGCACCAAAAAAAGAAGGATCACCTCTCTATAACACAGAGACCTTAAAGATATAACTCATGCATCTTTAAAATAAGCTTGAAAGTCAGTTTATTTTCATGCAAGTTTAGATCTGCCCCATAAATTTAGTTTAATTTATGAAACAGTAGCATGGAGACAATAAAATACTGTACTATTTAACAGAGTAGTGTTCATGTCTGCCATTAAAAGCAACATCTTGCTTTTCGGTCATTCATGGTAAGCAGCTCCAAGCCGAAGTGAGGAAGGAGACTGCCAGAGAGGAGATCATTGACAACTGCCCATTCTCCACTGCCAGCCACAGATTCTGAAAAGCGTTTAAAATCTCAGTTCCCAGGACTTACCCGAGAAGAGACAGAGGCAGGATCATCCGCTGGGACGGGGACATGGGACTCACTGGGAAAGGAAAAGCAAAGCCCAGGCAGGTAAAGAAAGCAGCTTCCTGCGGGCCGGCGATGAGGAGGCAGGAAGAACAAGGCTGGCTCTCAGCGTGACTTTTATTGCATGCTGAATCCCCAGACCTGCTAACGGTTCAGCTACAGGTGCGGCAGCAGTGGCTGTTTGATGCTCGCAGCGGTATTCGTGAAGGTCTCACGCTTGGGGGGCAGCTGGGAAAGGTAAACAGGCAGAACCAGGGTAGGGAACTAAGTCATTCGGTTCATATCCCAGATACACAACTGGTGTCTGACTGGCGTGATCTTCTCTGTTTAACGTGCCAGAGGTTCTGCCAACTTCTGGACCCGCGCTGAACACTGTGCTCTCAGAGCAGCCGGCTTGACTTTGAAGGCATCAGGATCGTAGTACATCATATGCACAGGACTCCTGGAAGGGCAGAAGGCAGGGAGAGAGTCACCCCGGGATAAGAGGAAACGCAAAGGGAGCTGAGGTTTCCCATGCGCCACCAAGGGCTGAATATCAGGCTCTTGACACATTTTGATGTTCAGGACTCACGCGGCCCGAACGACAAAATGAGGCCCAGTGAGGTCATGAGAATCGCGGATGGTCAGATCCTCAGGTCCGGATGTGCGTGCCTGTCAGACTCCAAAGCCTTCATCCTCCCCATAGAAAGTGAATTCTGTAAGTTTCTAACAGTCCTCCAGGGGACTAGAAAGAATATCTTTTTTTTCCTTGTCTCTTTACCTCCCTTCCTTCCTTTTCTTCTTTGTCTTTCCCTCTATTCCTTCCTTTTCCTTGTGCTAGAGACTGAATTTAGGGCCTAAAATATCTAAGTGTTCTGCCACTAAGCCACACCCTCCTTCCCCCCACTAATCTGTTAGAAGTTTATCACCCCGGCACCTGACTATTGAACAATAACCCCGCCACTGGGATAAAACCCTGATAAAGTGCTCCAGGGTATTCTTCCTTTCTCTTTTTTGATGAACAGAAAATGCGCTTCATTTCATTTGATGAAGAACTTCATGTTAAAAAAATAATATTTTCAAAATCTTATATAAGAACTAATAGATTTCTTTTGCCCTGAGTTCAAGACTTCCACCGTTTCCTGCTTCTCCTGGGTTCTCTGAAAAGCTTTTTAAACAGGGATGAAGAGCTGGGGATTTAGCTCAGTAGCACAAGCACCTGTCTGGCAAGTGGAAGGTCATGAGTTTGATCCCTCGTACCAAAAATAAGTAAGAGGGGGTGAAAAAGCTGGGCATGATTCCAGCATTTGGGAGGCTGAGGCAGGAGGATCCCTGTGCAATCAAGGCCAGCCTGGGCTATAGTGAGTTCAAGGCCAGCCTAGAAACACTGACTCAAAAAATAAATAAGCAAATAAACCATAAATAACTACATAGGGATGAGGAAGTCGAGAGTTATCCCTGGAGGTCAAAACCGAGGGTTAAGGCAAGATAAAAGGTCCTCCAAAAAGTGAACAGAACAAAAAAGCAATATCATCTTTGTTAATTGTATTTCCTTATTTATTTGAAATACCACATACATACATGTGATACAAAAACACTGAAAAAATATCAAAGCCTATTTAGCGACAAGTAGATCTTCCTCCCACCCCAGTTTCCTGGACCCCAAAGAAAGACATTGCTCTTAGCCTTTTATAAGCCATGACGCCTATGTATTACAGATGGCACATATATATTTATTCATGTACATATCCTGTTATATGCTTTATTCTTTGATTTCTTTAACTCAACAATATTATTAGGTAAATAATTTCATATTCAGGGCTGAGGATACAGCTCAGCAGCAAAGCTCCTGCCTGGCATGTGTGAGGCTGTGAGTTCGATAGCCAGTACCAGTAATAAATAATAATAATAATAATTTCATATCTGTACTTTTAAAGGTGTCTCCTAGTTTCCATACTTAGCCCACTAGCCCTTATGTGGTAACCTTGTATTTATGATAAGATCGTTTATTTGTAATAATAAATTTACAAAGTAGATGAGCTGTTACTGCAGTTTCTGGATTTTCTTCTTGTTGCCCTTATCAGATCAGCTTCGGCCCCCTTTCCAGAGCCCCCGGCCCTCCTGCCCCAGCTCAGCCTTGATTTGACACACCTTGAGCTTGGATTGGCTAGTTCCTGAATCCTGGGAGAAGCTTTCGAGTGGGTAGCAGCATAGGACACTGGCCACTGGGCATCACGGGCAGGTAGGTAGTCTTGATGAAGAGGCTTCGACTTAGCTAAAGCAGATATTCGGGGGCTAGGTTTGGCGTGCAAGGCAGCAACGGATATCTGTAGTGGACAAGAAGAGACACAGTAATACAGTCAGCTGTCACCAGCTATCACCCATTTGAGTTGCCATTCTCTCCTGGATTACTGCAACGGTCACCCTGCTTCCATGCTTATGTGCACCAGTCATCCAGTTATTGGAGAATGAACATTTAGTGATTGTGTTACACAACAAATATGGTCTGAGTGGTTTTCCACTTAACCACCAAAATAACCCTACGAGGTAAATTGTATGTGTGTGTGCGTGCATATGTGTGTGTGCATGTGTGTTACTGAGGGCTGACCGCAGGGCCCTTGCACTGATCTACATCTACAGCCCTTTTCTTTTTTCTTTTGAGACAAAGTCCCACTACACTGCTAAATTCCCAAGACGAGCTGAGTCATTTCTAAGACCAGTCACAGAATGGCCCTCCCAAGTTCTATATCCCTCCTGTGGCCGCCCATTTTGCTAACAGTAATGGACGAGACAAGCTGTTTCCTCTAGAAGTCCCTCTCCAAGTCCCTGTGGGGTCTGGCTGCATCCCACTCCTCAGACCCTTCCACCCTCCCCTCTCCACCTGGATCACTGTGGCCACGCCAGGCCCCTCTGGTCCAGCTCTCTCTGGCTCAGTGCTACTTGGAAACCATGGCTTGGGGGCCTCTTCCTAATTCAAGTCTATTCTCAAACATCCAGTCCTCCTGGAGCCCTTCCGGCCCAACCAAAAGCAGAGAAGCCTTTGTATGACCCACTGCTCACTCTCCTCTATCCACAACTGAATTCTTTACACATCTATTTCTTTACTGCCCGCTTCTCCATTCGAATACAAACTGCCAGAGGGAAGCACTTCTTGGCCAGTAGCTAGCATAGGCTCTGGCACATACCTGGTGCCAGATAAATATGCGTCCACTGACTGACCCCTATTTAGACCTAAAGTGAAACCACCTCAGCAGACCTTCTGCTGTGTGGCAAAGTAAGCAGGTGGCGCCTCACTGTGATTCTCTGCTACATGTTTGTCAGAGAGAATCAGGGTGGACAGTTAACTTGGTTCAGTAGCCCTGGAAGTATCTCCTGGCTCTGCTCAGCACAGCATTTCCTGAAGCTCTACATCTCTTTTCTAACGACTTTTTAAAACCTAAAACACTCCTGACAATAAAGAAAAGATGACTGTAATTCCCATTTTATATACCAAAAAAGTTGATAATAAACTCATTCCCCTGCAAACTCCAAATATCTTCCCAAGGTTTTTGGTTCCCTGAAGGGCTTTGTTTGCTAATAGATGCTGCATCGACTCTTCCTAGACGGGGAAACTGCTCCAGCTCCTTTGGGGATGTGATCGCTAGACTTTTACTGGAAATCCAGCTAAGAGATGGCACAGTCCTCAGACGAGACTTCCGAGGGGAGAGGGAGGGATACACAGCAGCCAGGCTCAGAGGCCAGCACCAGGTCGCCTGGTGATTCTTTGCATGTCTTGCTCCCCACACCCTGACTTCAAGCTCACCCCAGTTGAAGATTGTAACATTCACTCTTCCCTTTGCTGGAATCTTCTCCTAGATGGTCACTTGATCTTGTTCAAGGTCAGCTGGGACGTTCCTTCCTTAGCAAGGTGCTCACTGGCTCAGCTCTTTTCCTATTTAGTTTCTTCGCAGTGTCTCTCACTACTGCTAGTACCCTTTCTCTCTACCCATTTTCTCTTGTCTCCCCTCATTAGCATGGAGCTCTGCTCCTCCTTGCCAACAGTGCCCAGCAGGTGGGACCCCTTCAAGCACTTGCTGGCTGTGGCTCAAGAGGGGCTGTCCTGACCCCGGAGAGCTGGTAGAGGTGGGGTGGGGATTTGAACCCAGCTCCGACTCTTTCTGTCTCTCTGTCGTGTATCTAAGTCTTCCTTCCAGCCATGGATCACTCTTTTAAGATTCTCCTTTCTGATTATCGTGGGCTATGCCCTGCACAGGAAAACTAGGAACTCGGGAGCAACCAGGAAGAGAGCAGAAGAGTGGCAGGGGCGGCTTACAGGGCGGATTGGCAGCTCGCTTCTTTGTGTCTTATAGCACAGACCATCTAACTTGATCCTTGGGTGGGCAAGGTCTATAATTCGTGGAGTAGCAACAGCACTCAGGGTGGTAATGGCAATTCTTGTTTCAACCTAGGGGAGAAAAATAAGAGAACCTGAAGGAGTCAGATAATGAGCACTGTCTAGTTCGAAGACTACACAGTGTCGTCTGACCTCCGGACAGACTTCTCAGTCACTCAGAAGAGAGTGTGAGAACCTTGCCGTAGCTCCTGATCTCAGCTGAAGGATCGATCTCCATCTTTCCCAACTAAAACTGTGTAGATTCTTAGCCAAATTTTCAAGAACGTAACCTGTTAAACTACAGGTATGAGGAAATGGCAAAAAATAACCTCAGAAATAAATGGCAGTGTTGATCTGTGGACTGATGGACTCAGCCAAGAAGGCTCAGCCTCATCACCTGAGAATAATTTAAGGGTTCACTCTGCCTTAATCTTATTTTCTTTTTGCTCTTCGGAAACTGGGACTCACATTATCACAAATCACCATGCTAAGAAGAATTTAAGTGGCTCTCTTCTAATAGGAAGAGAGAAGAAAAATGAATCTAAGTCAACAAAATGAAAGCAGACCCAGCTGGCGTGGTGGTACACACCTATCATCTCAGTACTGGGGAGGTGAAGGCAGGAGGACTGCCATGAGTTTGAGGCCAGCTTGGGCTACAGAGTGAACTCAAGGCTAACCCTAACTGCCTCAAAAAAAAAAAAAAAAAAAAAAAAAAAAAATTTTTTTTTCACTGTATTTTTTGATCATACCTTCTGAATGGATCTGGTTGCTTTTTTTGGTATCAGGGATTGAACTTGTGACCTCACACTTGCCAGGCAGGCACTTATGCCGCTGAGCTAAACCCCCAGCCTTTCTTTCTTTCCTTTTTCTTTTTTGAGACAGGGTCTCACTATGTAGCCCAGGCTGGCCTCAAACTCATGGCAATCCTCCTGCCTTCACCTCCCAAGTGCTGGAATTACAGACTTGTGCCACATGCACAATGTTTCAAAAATTCATTGCAACAAGGTGGTCTGAACCTGGATGTCATGCCGTTCTATGCCATCTGCACCTAGTTGTACATTCTAAACAGTAATGTCATATGAACACATGTGTGAAAATCTTTTTCTTAATAAATTATGGTCCAAAAAAGTTCACTGCAATAAAAGATATGCCATTATTAAGTGACTTTCTGAAGCAGTTCTAGAAACCTTCCTGTCGTTAGTTGTATCATTGTGATTGCCTCAGAGTATGCACTGATCAAAAGCGTTTACTTTCCACAGTCATTTTGACTTGGTGGAAAAGCCAGACGTTGCAGGATGCTTGGCCTAGGAATGAGGTGCACTCAGCAGCAGCACTCACCATATTATTTCTTGATCATGTCTTGTAAAAGACCCTCACCAAAGAGGCCTTCCAGACCTGCCTCGGAGAGTGGTGAGAACAACTGGACAAGTGTGTTCAAAGCAAGGGCGAGCAGTGAGAGGCAGGTTGGTAGCGATGTGTTTTTTACTGTGATGTCTCTTTCTTCTCTTCTTTCCTTCCTTCCTTCCTTTTTTTTTTTTCTTCCAGTACAGGAAATTGAATTCAGGACCTTGCACTTGCCAGACAGGCACTGTGCTGCTGAGCTATATCCCCAGTGATGTCTTAAAATTTTAAACATTTACCACATCTTTTTGGAGATCCCTTGTATTTCTCCTTTTTTTTTTTCCAGTACTGGGAATCAAAGTTAGGACCTCACACTTGCTAGGCAGGTGCTGTGCCACTGAGCTACATCCTTGGCCCGTTCCCTTGTATGTCTGCGGTACCCTGAAGTCACTGTCTTTTTTATCTATTAATGGTGCTGGGGATCGAACTTAGGGCTCCACGTGTATCAGGTAAGTGCTCTACCACTCAGCCACATCCTGGCCACTCCCCTCATTCTCCTATTAACTGTGAAAAGTGCTTCAAAGTGTCTATTTAATTTATGTGTATTTAAGTAATTTCTTGTGTAAAGATTTGAAGAGAATAAAATCAGTTACTGGAGATAAAATAGGGCTTTAACTGTGAGTGAAAAAATAATATATAAAGTGTCTTCCAAATGTTCTAAATTTACAAGTTTACATTATGTGGATGATGATACAGCGCTGATAAGTTTTTGATATATTAATTAATTTATTTGCACCTGCATATCTGTTTTGTTTTGTTTAGTTTTGTTGTCTATTTTTTTGAGAGAGGGTGGAGCCCCGGCTGGCCTGGAGCTTGTGATGATCCTCCTGTTTTAGCCCCCAGTGCTGGGATTATGGCTGGCTTGGAATACCATTTTTATTTCTGCCTCACTGATGCTAACACCAAGGCCCTGAAACTCCTGTCCATGCTGAGGTTATACAGTCAGGAAGGTGCAGACCTGCAGTTCAAGCTACAGGTCCTTCACTTCTGCACATCATGTAGTATTATTTGAAACGGTTCCTATAAATAAAACTGTCACTTTCAGACTCTGTGGAAACTGAAGAAATACCTGACAACTGCTATCTCCCATTGAGGCTTTCAATCTGAAAGGAAATTTAATTTAATTCAATTCATTAAATAAATATTTCTCAATTTCATTATATAAGGCACAACAAAGAATAAAAATAATGGCTGCTTCTTAAAGGCACATGAAAATGCAAAAGACCTAAAACAGCCAAAGCAGACATTGGCAAAGAAGAACAAAATTAGAGGGCCTACCCTGTCACTCCGAGACACCATCTGACCCTTAATAGTCAAGACTGGACAGCACTGATGTGGGGACAGACGGGAAAAGCTAGGTGCGGTGGTGTGCACTGTGACACTAGCATTTGGAAGGCTGAGGCCGGAGGATCATGACTTTGAAGCCATCCTGATCTGCATAGGGAATTCAAGACCAGTCTGAGCTATGTAACAAGACCCTGTCTCAGTACGCCAAAAAAGAAAAAGAAATAGACAAATAAATGGTAGAGAATTGGAAATTCAGAAAAAGATACCAAGTAATTCAACAGGGAAAAAATTGATGAACTGAGCTAGACAAACTGACTCTCCACTGAGAAAAACAAAGCTCAAGCTTTACCTCTCATATAACAAAAATAACCCTAAACTAAATGATCATAACATAAACATAAAAGTAAATATTATAAAGACTCTGGAAGAAAAGATAGAAGACCTTCACAAGCTAAGAGTAAACAAAAATTTCTTTGAACACCAAAAGCATTAACTGAGAAAGAAAAGATTGATGAGATAAACTTCATCAAATTTGCATGATAAAAAAGATAACATGAACGAATTAATAGCTTAGCCATAGGCAAGGAGAATACCTTTGCAAATCCATAACCCTAAATGAAGGACAAGAATTCAGAATAAATTTTTCAAGTCATTAATAGAAAGAAAATACTCCAATCCTTTTTTTTTTTTTTTTTTTTTTGGTCTTTTTCCTTTTTATCGGTACCGGGGATCAAACTCACGACTGCCTGCTTACAAGGCAGGCGCTTATGCCGCTGAGCTAAATCCCCAGCCCCTCCAAACCATTTTTAAATGAGTACAAGTTTAATAAAACAGAAAAACTATTCAAACACAAAATGACTGTAATGTCGAAAATCTGAAGCGAAATAAAAAGAGGTTAGGCATGGTGGTACACGCCTGTAATCCTGGCACTCAGGAGGCTGAGGCAGGAGGATTCCTGCAAATTCAAGGCCAGCCTGGGCTACAAAGTGAGTTCAAGGCCAGCCTGAACTGAGTAGTGAACCCGTGTCTTTAAAAGCCCCTCTCCCTCCACCAAAAAAGAAGGAAAACTCCAACGGTTACTAAATGATATAAGATACAAATGCCAAGCAAATGTTCAATGCTGATAGGCATCTGGAAATACAGATTAAAGCTGGCTATGGTGATGGTGACCCTGCATTTGGGAGGCTGAGGCAGGAGGATAGCCATGAGCTCAAGGCCAGCCGGAGTTACATAGTGAATTCAAGGTAAACTTCAACTACATAGTGAAACCCTGTGTCAGACAGACAGACAAAAAATACAAATTGAAACCACAGCGAGGTACCAGTATCTCACTAAAATGGCTAAAGTTTTAAAAGTCTGACAGGCCCGAGAAATATCTGAACCTCCCACACATAGCTGAGGAGAATGAAAATGATCATTTGCTGTGGAGAGAAACAGTGTTTTACAAACCCACAGCTGCACCCACATCTACCTGATGACTGAACAACTCTTAAGAGAAATGAAAACATGGTCACAAAGATACCATACAAAAATGTTCATGACGACTTTATTCATTTAGGCTACCTGGAAACACCCCGATGTCCATCCAAAGTGAGTAAATAAGAATTATGGTGCACTTTTACAGTGGAATAATACTTGCCAATAAAACGGCACAACCTATTATCCGCTCAGTGGGACACAGGAACTCTGTGGAGCGAGAGACGGCAGATACTACAGAGCGCGAACTGTATGACTGCATCCAGTCGTGCTCAAGATCATGACAGACCTAATGCTGGTGACGGGACTCTGGGTGGCTGCTGCCTGATCAGGGCGGGGTGGAGCGGTAACTGACTGGAAGGCTTCGTGGATCCATGGAACTATGCTGTATCTTGATTATTATTATTACTATTAAAGGCATCTGTTAGCTTCTTAAACCAGACACTGAAGATTGATACATTTTATATAAATTATAATTTAAGAATTCAAAGTTGAGGCTGGGAAAAAATTTTTGTACCATAAATAACAGATGAATTAGAATTAATATTTCTAATACGTAAAGAACTTTCATGAATCATTAAAAAATACAAACCCATAGAAAAAAATCTGGGTGTGGTAGTGATGCCTGTAATCCCAGCACTTGGGATACTGAGGCAGGAGGATCCCTCTGAATTTAAGACCAACCTGGGCTACATACTGAGGCCCTGACTCAAAAAACCACCAAAGAAAACCATGAATAGACAAATTGATCAAAAAAAAAAAAAACCCACACATGGTAAATTACTGTGGGGAGCTGTTTGAATTTATTAGTTATCAAAGAAATGAAAAAAAATTGAGATTCATTTATTATACAATTAACATTTTGTAAAATAAATATCTAACATTGGTAAGAGTTCAATAACAAGGCAGCCAAATAAAGCAAATAAGCATAAAAATCAATTACTTTTTGGGGAATGTGTTTTAGAATTTTATATAAATCACCTCAAAAAGGCTCATACCTGAGGGCTGGGGATTTAGCTCAGCGGCATAAGCACCTGCCTTGCAAGTAGGCGGTCGTGAGTTTGATCCCCGGTACCGGTAAAAAGGAAAAAGACAAAAAAAAAAGGTTCATACCTTTCCCTGGGTCCAAGACTTTATTTCTAAAATTTTCGTTCCAGGAAAATAATCAGAGACTGAGAATGATGGAGAGGGACCCGCGGGGGACAGATCTGATGCAAGGGAATAACAAGTCCGGCAGGGCTGCTGAGTTATGCTGAGTCCAAGGGCCCGGGGCTCCCAGTACCTGCTCAATCTGAAATTAGTGTTAAGAGTCAAAATCTCCTAAAAGACAAAGATCCAAAACCTCCAGACCCTGAGTAGTCTGAGCGGGAACTGTACACACTGCTAAGTACACAGCGTTGTGGGCAAGGATCCTGTGTGCAGCCTGTGGGCTCTGAGGGTTCCTGTCAGAGGGACTCAGAGCGACAGGAGGACTCCAAACCCTCCACCAGGTCTCTGGCGACCAGGAGCCTCGGGGACCTGTGTCAGCTCTCAGCTTCCGACGCGGGAAATTTACAACCAACCGTTACAAAACTAAGAGAATCGAATCTTGGAATTAATGTTTTGTGTTAAGAGTAAATACATGCAACACACAACTTAATTGGAATATGGACCAATTGGGTAGATACAGGACTATTTAAATTTCCTGATTTTGATAATAGCGTGTTTCTGTGGTTTTATAAAATAATGTCCTTTTTCTTAGGAAATTAGCACTGATGTATTTAGGGAAAAGAGGATCTAGCTATAGCTTACTCCAAAAACTGATTCAGGAAAAAAATTATAGACACACACAGGCACACAATACACAGAGGAGAAAGAATAGTAAAACAAACAAACAAACAAACAAAAAAACAAAATAAGTTTTACAACTTTTCAGCAGGTTTGAAATTAAGATTTAAAAACTTCATAGTAAAATAAAAATATGTGCCCATGGGTATACGTATTTTATAACACCTACAGACCTATGTACTTACAATGGGTAATTTGTAAATGGATTCCCCTTAGTTAAATCAATTTGAAAATAAAAATAGCCAGTCGTGGAGGTGAATGTCTGTATTCCCAGCACTTAGGAGGTGAAGGGCAAGATCGCTGCGTGCCCTGAGCTGCACAGTAAGACCTCATCTCAAGTAAAATAATTAAAAATAATAGCTTGTTAGGCTTGCCATATCAAAATATCATAGGACGGGTCCTCTCACAGCCAAAGCTCCCGTTTCCCTGGTTCTGAGGCTGCAGGTGCAGCCCTGAGGGTGAACAGGTCTGGCTTCTCTGTGGCCGGTTTCCTTGGGGGACAGAAAGCTGCCTGGCTCTTGTTTTTGCGCTTTCCTTCTAAGTGTGGACTTCACTGCATCTCTCTATGTACTTCTTTGAATTTTTATTAGAATGTTTAAAGAATTTTTATTAGAATGTTTTTGCAATACATAATGACTATATTCATTGTGGGAAGTATGTGATTCTATATTATTTCAACGTGTTATAAAAACTAAGCAAGACAATAAATAAATAAATACCATTAAAATACCTACACATTTAAGAACATTTGTTCTGTTAGAATGACAAATTTACAACTGCAGTGTGAAGTGTACAACTGAGAAACCGAGTTAGAATTATGACAGTAAGTTGAAATAAGTTTACATCCAGACTTACAAAACTTAAAAAAACTCCCATTTCACCACATTTATGATTTAGTATATTAAATTCTAAGATAATGAATTATATTTCAGAAGTTTTTCTTTTTTGCTAATGTTTTTCTTTTTGCTAAGGTTGAATAATTAAAAATAACTCAAATATATTTATAATATTAAAGTTTTTGAAATATTAAAATCTTTGAAGGTACTTTACTAGGTTTGGAAACATTATTCAGAACTCTTAAAATTATATATTAATGACTGCTAGAATTATAAATGTAAGAACACAGTTGGCAGGCTAAACCTAAAAGCCCAAGAAAACATTTTAATTTGAAATTTAAAGCAGGGTCCTATTAATTAGTAACCATGCTCAAGAATACCAAAAGACTCCCATCACCGGGTGTGGCTGCCTTTAAATGCATATAAATTCTTTCACACCTCTCTCATACAGAGGTAGGCTTTGCATCCCCGCCCCACGAATCTGGCCAAACATAACCACATTTTCAACAAACTATTGCAGTGATGTGGGGCTTCCAAGACCAAGCCAAAGAAGACCAGGCCACTCCCACTGCCCCTCCTTTTGGACCGCTCACCCTGGGATTCCCCACATCTGGACACTTAGGCTGACAGGTCTGTGCCCTGTGGAGAGGCCATGCAAAGGTGGTCCCCAACATGTTACCAATGGAGTCCAGGCTCAGATCATCCCAGCCTCCACACCCAGGGGTGTTCTATGGATTGAACGTCTGTGTCTCTCTAAAACTCCTATGTTGCTGGGCTTGGTGGCGTTCACCTATAATTCTAGCACTGTGATTTGAGGCCAGCCTGAGGCTGGCTAGTGAGATGAGACTCTGTCTCAAAATACAAACTAATAAAACCTACCAACCCCCACTCTCCCCCAAAAATCTCTCCTGTGCTGAAGCCCTAAGCCCGGTGTGATGGTACTAGGAGCTATGGCCTTTGTGGGGTAATCAGGTTTAGATAAGATCATCAGAGTAGCATCCCCATAATGGGATTAGTCTTTATAAGAAAAGAGGAATAAGGTCACTCCCTTTTCTCTCTACCACTCTGTCTCTCTCTCTCTCTGTCTCTGTCTGTCTCTCCTCTCCTCTCCCCTCTCCTCCCCCAGTCTCACCTTTCCTCCCTTGCCTCATCAAAGGAATAAAGAGTCAGGTGAGCATGGAGCAAATATTAACCACCTTGCAGCTAGGAAGGTAGTTGGCCCTCCCAAGAACAGAATCTTCTGGCATGTTAACTTTGGACATCCTAGTTTGCAGAACTGTGAGATACATCCATGGTGTAAGGCACCCCATCTATGATGATGCTAGCTGACTAGGACAGGTATGAAGGAGCCTTCAGATATCTCCAGCCCCTACCATTTCAGACAACCAGGGAATCAGATTTCTCAGCTGAGGCAACGAACCCAGAGCACAGATACACTGCAGCTGCTCCCCTGCCAGAATTTTTGACTCAGAAAATTCTTCATAAAAAGTCAGAGTTTTTTAGGTATGGTGATGCACACATATAATTTCAGCACTCAGGAGGCTGAGGCAGGAGGACTGCTGAGAGTTTGAGACCAGCCTGGTCTGCATAGTAGTTCAAGGCCAGCCTGAATTATAGTAAGACCTCATCTCAACAAAACGAAACAAAACAAAACTACAATTGGTGCTTTTTAATGCCACTAATGTTAAGGGTGGCTTAGTATGAAATAATAGACAACCAGACCAGACTGTAAGGACATGGCCTCTATATTGGTTCTAGATGCTCTAGAATTTGTTTTCTGGGATGCTGAAATTGACAGGCATTTGTGAGCTGATTAGTGATTTACAGCATACAGTGGCAAAACAGAGAAGGAGGCTTGAGCTGACCAACAGTTGCTGCCAGAGAAAACACGTCAGTGAAAGGAAGTGTGGTGGGCTTAGCTAGATGTTTCTAAGTACACTGAAAAATTTGAGAAAAGAAATGATCAGTTCAGGCCCTTAAATCCCAGCCCCAACTTAAGTAAGGTCCAGAGGAGGGACCAGGAATCCTTTGTGAGTTCCCTGTTACCTTCTATTGTCATGGGGCTGAAAATTATGAAAAGCAAACTTTAGTTTTATAATTGGATGAGTCCCAGTAAAAACTGAATTCTCACATTTGCATGGTCCCTTATATTAAAGCTTGACCAATGACAGGGAAGGATTGGGACTTAAAAAATTGGAACAGGGCCATATGGGTCAAACTCAGTGCAGGGACTTTAAGCCCTTAAGTACCACTGACCCTGCCTTATCATTATAATCAGCCCTGCCACACCAGGAGGTTGGATATGCCAGGCTCAGGTGCCTTCCAGGGAGCTGCCACCTATCCCTGCACCCTTCCTGGCTGCAGACTCAAGTCCCAACTGTGGTCACAGCCTGCTAACACATCCCCATAGCTCCCAAAGCTGCTAAAAGCTGGCTTTATTCTGTGTCACTCTGGCCTCTTTCTGATCTGCACATGAGGCATAGGGATGGGAGTCAGAAAAGTTCATTTGGTCAGCAAAGAAAAAACACATGGAAAGAAAAGGAAAATCCACACCCAGAAGTAAGAGAGGATCGTGTCACAGACTGGATCAGGACCCACTTCTCTCACATGGGAACACTCACGCTTCTTGGAGGAACGTAGTTTGCATCTGTGCCTTTGGCGACTGAGAGCTGCAGAATCCGGGGAGAAGCTTCTGAGAAGTGGAGAGGACCTCTTGCTAAGTGATCACTGGCAGACCTATATGCAAATGAAAGCGTGAGATAGCATATATAACTATCAGACAGAGGAACAGTAACTGGATTGTCCTTGCTACAATCAACTTCTTATCGATTATACATATAGTTTCAATTTTAAGAACTCTTCCCACAACCACAAGTGCTCTTATGACCAGGTTGATGTTTCTCCAAATTTATCATAACACAATTATGAAGTACATCTTTTACCATGGTATGGTAAATGTGAATGTGTGCCTGTGTACATGAAGCACAATTACTGCGAAACGAGGCTTATCCTGTATGACATATTCTGATTTTTTAAATCATTAATTTGATTTCATTCAGAGAAAACATGAAATTAATTTCATGATCGTATATGAATGGGTTGTGACTTGCATTTTGAAACACACCTCACTCCCTACCAGTCTTGAAATTAGATCTCTAAGATAAAAACCCCACTTACTGCCAAGGACATTCCTATGTTGGCCATTTCTGAGGCAACACAGTTGGAGATAATCCTGGTCAGAATTTCCAGCCATTTAGCCAATGGTCGGAGGCATCCAAAATTTCTTTTCCTGACCAAAAACCAACCAATCAATCCACAGATATACAAACTTAATATGGAAATGGTTTCTCACAAATATATTATTACCCCAAAGGAGTAGTCTGCTGAAGTTTTTACAGTTATAATCATCATTATTATTTACATAATTAACATGTCATAAGATTTACAACTATATGTACAATTAAATGGTTTCTAAAACATTCATAGTTACACAACCATCAACACTATCTAATTTCAGAATTTTTTTGTTCTTTGAAAGAGAAAGTCTGCATTTCCTGAGAACCGCTAATCTACTCCCTATGAAGTGTCTATTCAGGAAATTCCAAATAAATGGAATTATACAAACATGTAGGCTTTGTGTCTGGATTTCTATATTTAGCGTACTTTAAAGAGTCATGTATCAGTACTGAATAACATTTCATTGTGTTAATTTACCACATTTTGTTTATCCACTAACCTGATGAACACTTAAGTTGTTGCCACTTTTAAGCTACTATAACTGCTGCTGCTATGAATATTTTTGTGCAAATTTATTGCAAATGTTTTTAATCCTCTTGGGGACATGCCCCATATTGCATGTTTAACATTTTGAGGAGTTGCCAAACTGTACATATTATCTGTACCATTTTACATTCCTACCAACAATTTCTCCACATTTCCACCAACACATACTATTTTCTGTTTATTTGTTATTATTTTTTATTTATATTCTTATAGAAGTTATATCGTGTTTTCAATTTGCATTTCCAGAATTATTAATGATGTTTAGATGATCTTTGCATCTGCTTCTTACCCTTTTGCATATTAGTCATCAACTTATAACAGGGTTATAGCTCAGCAAACCCATGGTAAGTTGGAAACATCACTAAGTGGAAAGTGCATTTAATAACCTAAAATATTAGTTGTTTACTCTTGTGATGCCATGACTGGTTGGCAGGTGTTAATCACCTAATTCAAGGTAACAGATTTATGCCTTCTTCTTCTTTTCCTCCTCTTCCTTCTCCTCTTCCTCCTCCTCCTCTTCTTCCCTTCTTTCTAAGGGCTTGACAGCTCTTTTATTTAGTGTGTGGCCCATTTGGAACGTTTGTACATGGTGTGACATGGGATCCAACTTCATTCCTCCACACAAGGATATCCAGGTACACACCACCAATTGTTGAACGATTATTCTTTCCCCAGATAACCTCTTTTGTCACTTTTGTCACAGTTCAACTGATCATAAACGTAGTTTTATTTCTAGACTATCATTTATTCCATTTACCTAAATGTCTATCTTAATACCAGTAATACATTACCCTGATTACTACACCCTTTTAGAAAGTTTTAAAATCACAAAATATGCCTTCCAAGTTGTTTTTATTCATGGTTTGCTATGGTTTTTATCTACATATCCATCCCAAAGCCTCATGCACTCACAGGTGAGCTTTTTCAGAAATGGATGGACCTAGGGTGTACGAATATGAATTAAGGAAATATGACATCTGGATTAGCCCTCCAGTTGGATTGGCACAGTTCTGGGTGTGAATGAATGGATTTACTGAAAAGAGAAGCCCCATCCTGAGTGTGAGTGGCACCAATCAATAGACTTGTAGCCGAGGTGGATATGAAGGGACAGAAAAAGGAAGGCTGATTGCTTCTGCCCTGCCATGGACTGTTTCTGCTCTGCCACGCCACCCTTCCTTGGAGCCAGCTGATGGTGGACTGAAGCCTGTATACACTGTGAGATAAAATAAACCTCCCCTCTTTAACTTTGGGTGTTTGGTATTTTTGTCCCAGCAACAAGAGAAGTAACTAAGATATCATAGCTATTTTTTTGGCTACTCTAGATTCCATTTCCACACAAATTTTAGAATTATTTTATCAATATGTATCAAAAAGGCAGCTAGAATTTTAATAGGACTTGCACTAAATCTGTATGTCAATGTGGGGAAAATTGCATCTTAACAAAATTAAGGGGTCCAGTCATAATATTTTTTCATTATATAAGGCTTCATTGATTTCTTTCAACATTTGCAGTTTTCAGTGTATATGTCTTGCAGTTCTTTTGTTAAATTTATTTTTAAATACTTTGTCCTTGGAGGTGGAAGGAAGATAGCGGACCAATAAGCAACAAGGCACAGAACCTCTCGGAGAGAAACAGCTCAGATGCTAGAATTTACCACCATGGAGAAGACCAGACGAAAGGAAAGGGATTTTCACAACCCAAGAAGAAACTGAGGAAAAAGAAAAAAGAAAGAAAAGGAAAACGTGGACAGAAGCCTGGAGCTAATCACCCTCTCACCAGAGCCAACCCAACTTGTGGTCACAGCACTCTCGCTAGAGCCACAGTCAGGCCCAATGGAGAACAGAGCTGGCGTGGACTCCTGCACTAACCTGTGGTGAGTACTCGGAATTTGCACCCTCCTCAGGAGGGGGGTGACCAACCAGATGACATATTTGTATTGGGCAGGACGGGCTTGAACAAGGAAAGGCAGTGACTTCAGTTGGCTGCTCTCTGCCAAGAGCAGATTGGTGGATCTGCTTGGGCTGGGTCACATCCCTGGCTATTGGATCCCCAAAGTTTTCCAGAACCAGTTCCATTGCACAGCACACACTAATGTGGTGAAGGCCCCGCTGGTTGACTGGCTCGGAGGGGAGGTGCCAGCCTACAGCACCCGTTTGCACCTCAATAACAACAGCACAATGGAGAGGGCAGAAATTCCTAGCCAGAATGCTTCAGAAGAACCATAACCAATATGGAAAGGGGCTGGGACCTCAAGCATACATGTGTATAGAAGAAACAAGAAACATGACAAGAGAAAGAAATAAGAAAAAGCCTCCAGCCAACCCAGGAAATATTGGTCCAGGAGAGGTAAATACAGAAAAGATCAAGGGCAACAAACATGCAATATTGGACATGGCATCAGCTGACATTATAACTATAATGTCGTGGTATCTTCGTGACATTAAAGACAACTCAAAACTAAAATATTAATACAAGTAAGGCAAGATATAAGAAGATTAAGAAAAGAAATACTAAGCACCTCTCAAGAAGACACAGATGGAAGAATAGAGGAACACAAAAAAGGAGAGAAACTTTCAATGAAGAATATTTTTAAACCTAGGATACATGAAACAGATTCAAAGACACTACCAGGAAATTAAAAACTCCATTGAAAGCTGGCAAAATTGTCTGAAAGAAACTAGAGATAGATTAACAAAACGTGAAGATGGGTTTGCAATATGTGATTGTGAAAGGAAAGATCTCTTAAAAATAACAAGGAAATAGGCAGTAACAATACAAAGGCTAGGGGCTGGGGATTTAGCTCAGCAGCATAAGAACCTGCCTTGCAAGCAGGCAGTCATGAGTTCAATCCCTGGTATTGATAAAAAAAAATATAATACAAAGCCTAGAAGACTACAAGAGGATCTATAACTTGAGAATAAAAAATGTGAGTGAAGAAGCAGAGGTAAGCACAAAGGAAATACAAAGGTAATTCACAGAAATAACTAAGGAAAACTTCCCAAGCATAGGAAAAGGAAATAATATTCAGATGTATGAGGCATATAGAATTTCAGCCACCTACAACCAAAACAGAGCTACACCCAGACATATAATACTCAAGATCTCAGAAATTCATCACAAGAACAGAATATTAAAAGCTGTCAGAGAAAAGAAACAGATCACCTATAAAGGAAAACCCATAAAAATCACAACAGATTTCTTGACACAAACCATCAAATCAAGAAGAGTTTGCAGTGAAATATTCCAAGCCCTGAAAAAAAATAACTTCCAGTCCAGATTGATGTACCCTGCAAAACTGTCTCTCAAAATTAATGGAGAAACAAGATGCTTCCATGACAAAGAGGAACTGGGGAAGTTTGTGACACCAATCCAACTCTACAAAAAATACTGAAGGACATTCTAGAAAGGGAGAAAACACCAAGATTTCAAGAAGAGTGGCCTCAATGAATGGATCAGACAGTGGAATGAAGGAGAAAAGTAGATAACCAATGGTAGAAAAAATAGCATAGTAGAAATGAGGCAGAGAAGGTTGGCTATAATCTCTAACATAGATAGTAGCCTTGATACACTAACAAAAAGAAACACAGAATAGACCAGGAAATAGGGTCCCTTGAGATGCTCTGTATAGGAAATATAATTAACCTGAAAGAGGGTTTATGGACAGGAAGTCAAATATAAGAAAACAATGCTCTATGTGACAGGGAACCAGACAGAAATAGGGGCAGCTCATCCAGCACCTGCAGATAGGTTGGAAAGACATGACACACTTTTGTACAGTGGAGAACTATTCAACTACAATGAAGGAAAACCTTGGGACTTTTGTGGGTAAAGGAATACAACTTAAGATCAAGCCCAGGAGTAAAACGGTTCATAACCACGTAGGTATATAGTGGGTTGTACCCCTAACCTATAAACTAAAGGACTTAGTGGTACCCAAAATGAACGATATACC